CGTTATCAGTGTTTGAGTCATTTTCACAGTATCACAAACAAAACGCATGTGAAGTTTTCTCACCTTAACTCTAACCCATTATTAGGGGTGCACCGATTGATCGGTCACGGATCACAATTGGCCGATAATTGCTTTGGGAAGTTTGATCGGCTGTCTCTATAATGGCCGATATAGAAAAGCTGATCAGATGATGCAAAACTCGCGAGACAAGTTTTTTGCGCGCTGCTAAAATGGCTTCTCACATGGTGTGTGAAAAAGACCCAACATTAGCAATCTGCAACCTGTGTAACAAGCAAATTCCACGAGGCGGGAAGCACCTAAAGCATTTTAACAAGACGAACCTCATCAGACATTTAAAGGTTAGTCATGTAAAGGAACATGAGCAGTTTTCAAAGTTAAGCGTTAAGAGAGAGTGGGAGAGTTCAGCAACTCGTGCGACAGTCACTCAGCTGTCAGTAACAGAGACGTTTCAAAGACAGCAACCCTACTGCAAGGACAGTAAGAAGCATAAAGAAATATCAAACAAAATAATGGAATTCATATGCCTAGATCATCAGCCGCTGTCTATTGTGGAAGACAAATTGTTAGGGTTTTTTGGCAGAACAATAAAAGCCGCTTTCCTGCTCTCGCACAAGCAGCACAAACCTACCTCTCTGCCCCATGCACAAGTGTTGATAGTGAGCGACTTTTTAGCACAGCAGGAAATATCGTGGATGAGAAGCGCAACAAGCTGTCAGCCAAAAATGCGGAGATGCTTATATTTATAAAGAAAAATCTGCCCTTGATGCAAGAAGCCAGCTACTAATCTACATTCTCTACATCACTGTTGCTCTCTCTACCTCTCTACATGCCCACACAATCTGACTGAGCTTCTGAGAAAAAAGTAACTACTTCAGAATTTATTATTGATTCATGATGCAGAAGCCATCGTGATAGTGCAGTTGTGGTTCTGTTAGTTAACTGCCTTTCTTCTTGACATCCCAAGAGATGTGAACTTGCAATGGCTTGTTAGTCCTGCCCTGAGAATTGAGTTAAAGTTGTAGTTGATAGAAACAGATACAGATATGGAGATGCAAGTTTTTTGTTATTTGTGTTTTTCATTTATTTTTGTTGTGTAATTTATTATTACCTGTGGTCCTTAAAGTAAATTAGAAAAAATGAGGGCTGACTTGAAACACAATTTTGACTATAGCCTTTTTTGTTGCAGTTTTTAGTCTAAAGTTAAAGTACTCTAAAGCTCTTTGTTTTGTTATTTTTTATTTTTATTTTTATATAATCAACAGGAAAATTGTATTTGTCAAGCTCCAAGCTGTCCCCAGTTGCTAACCAAGGCAAGCACAGGCTGCTATGTTTTAAGTTGAAGTGTTGCACGTTTCATGCCAATAAATGCAGTTGTCAATTCATAATATTCCTCTTCTTGTAATTTCAATACTTCATTTACATTGTTGTCAAATATAGTTTAATAAATAATGATACATGATGAGGCTTCAAGTAGACCCTGTAATCGGTGATCGGTATCGGACGATACAGCTTCTAGTGATGAGATTGGTGATCGGCCCCAAAAATCCTGATTGGAGCACCCCCTACCCATTATTTAAATCCTCTGGATGCTTAGAACAGATGTCTTAACACTGATGATGTGTTGTTATGAAAAGTCAGATGTTGGTTACAAATGCTACATTTGACTAAATGGGGCTGCAAACACTCGAAATGCTCCTACACAAGTGACCTTGTTCTCTTTTTTGTTTCCTCCATCATCCAAATATCAAATAGGTTTGTGTCTCTCCTACACAAAACCTCCCAAAATCTGTCCATTTTCACAGACTTTTATTTTGTTAATGGGAAGTGGCACATAACAGGAATCATTGACTGAGGATCAGCTCAAAGTTTTATTTGGTCATTCAGGTAGTGTCAACTGAATCAACTGACTGAAGATGAGCAGTTGTATGTTTCACCAGCCCCTCGTTGCAAACCTTCAAAATTTGAAGCATTTCAAAGGTTTCTTTCAAAGGTCTGAAGCGTTTCAAATTGACTTTGCCACTTTGATACATACCCCGAAGCAGTGCTTTGAAAAGGAGGTGTTGCAAGTAATGGTGTTATACTTGTATAGCGCTTGGCCATTTGCACTCCCAAAACACTTGCACATTCACACACCGGTGTCATCACTGAGAGCAACTGGGGGTTCAGTGCCTTGCTCAAGGACACTTTGACATGTTGACTGGACAAGCCGGGAATTGAGCCGCTAGTCCTCCAGTTAGAAGAAGTGGTTTGAAGCGTGTTGACATGCTGTTTTGAGTACAGCTATTACTAATGTTTGGTTCTTTCAGGTATCGCTGCACCTCCACAGTAACATCTGCTGTTACACTGTGGGCCACAATAGCATCTAAGTGGCACCATAGACAAAAGCCTCTGTTAGTAAATACAGAAATAGAATTATGTGTGCAAGCAATAGAAAAGAAAAAAAAAAGGAAAAATAAAAACACACCAGAGGAAGTTAGAGGTCGCATATTTGGAATGTTTGATGATGATGTTATGATTATGATGATGGTGGTGTTGAGGAGGAACAGGAGGGCGATGAACATGATGGTACTGGTTCAGAGGCTCTGATAATGGCAGCACACTCTGCTGTTAGACTTTTTATACCCTCTTTAGCCCTTTGATGGCTCAAAAACCCAAGGTCTTAAACCTTGGCTTTAGCAAAGTAGCCAAAGTCAAAATGCTTCATTGCCTCAACATTTGAGAGCCTCTCTGCATCATTAAAACTTGACAACACTTTGAGACACTCCCTTATATAGTCATATTCATTTGCTGTCAGAGGTCGTATGTCTGTCGCCAATGATGCTAATGCAGCTCCTTCTGGTCATTCGAAGTCATACAGCCACTGGAGCATGAGAATTGTGCTGTTCTGAGTATCCACCTCTTGAATAATCTTTAGGGTGGGATGTGCCATTTGCTCCAGCACCTACACAAGTCTTTCCTTAGAAGAGGACAGTCTATTATGCATATGAGAGAATAATGGCAGTAAAAAAACAACAACCATACAGTGTGTGAAATTTTTAGATAATCACAGAGTAACCATACCTTTGCTGTTGTGCTTAATCTGAAATACTGTATCTTACAATTGTCATGCCCTGGTGCAGATGTCTGTGAGGCCTGCTCCAGTATATTTTTGACCACCAAATTTAAAGCACATGCTATGCAAATTGCATGCTTCAGTCCCTCATGCATGCCATCATGTTAGCAGTGGCATCTGTGACAATGCAGGTCAGCTTCTCCTTTATTCCTCATTCACACACAAAAAATTATATTTATCTATCAACCAGTTTCCTTTTTAGGACAGAATTTAGAAAAATGTGACCTCATAATATCTATTAAAATACCTCGAACATACCATGGTCAACGCTGGTTTGGCTGCTATCTCTGGGTTCTCCATGCAGCGGCATATCAAGCTTTTTAAAAGTGTGGGGGATAAGGTTTGTCTGGGGTGGGGGTATCTGAGCAAGACTGAAGCTGAATGCAACTAAATGTGTTTTACACACCTCTCTTATTTATGACATATAGAGTTTACCTACTCTAAATAGAGTTTATGCACCAAATTCAACCAATATTCTGCTTGCTATCATTATCAGCGCAACACAGTTATAGCTTAGTGTTTCTGAATTACACTACATTATCTACATTTTATGTTCAACCCTGATCAACATTGTAAGAGCCATTTATGCAACTCATATTGTTACAATTTACCCACCTCTTTTTTCAGAACACCCCTGATTCTTAAGTTGAAGAAATAAAATCTCTGTATTAAGTTATTCTGAAGAAAAAGGTCCGCTACAAATTGAAACTCTTGTGTAATATAAATTAAATATTTTTATTTAAACAATAGACTGATGAAGTTTAATGCTTAAAACATTGTTTACACTTTGTTAACTATGTAATACTAGCTGCTGAGGTGGTGAACAGGGTACATGATGGATATTAAGGGAGGGAGGCGACAGTGGTGCGGTGGGTAGAACAGTAATCTCCCAAACAGAAGGTTGAAGGTTTGAATCTCGGTGCCGGCAGCCCACATATTGAAGTGTCCTTGGGCAAGACGCTGACTTTGTGTTTGCCTCTTCACCCTGTTAACTGGTGGATTTGCTGGGATTGCCTGTAAGATCTGTCACTCTAATTTGACCTATGTGTGTATGTGTGTGTTGCCTCCTGTGTGCATGCGTGGGGTTGTTCATACTCTTTATGTCAATCTTTAAATGGTTTGGCTCCCCTTTATCTTACAGAATTGCTACATCCCTATAGCCCCTCCCGGTGCCTCACATCGGCTGACCAGCTGCTCTTGCAGGTACCGAGGGCTAGGCGGAGATCTAGGGGGGGACAGCTTTTTCTGTGGGGGTGCCTAAGTTGTGGAATGCATTGCCCCTTTATATTAGACAGGCCCCCTTGTTGTCCACTTTTAAAAACCTATTTGAAGACTCATCTGTACCGTCTGGCGTTTGAACCAGTATGATCCTGTGTCTTGTTGAGCTTGTGATTTATGATGGGGGGTTGTTTTAAGTATGATGTTTTTGTTTTGCTGTTCGTTTATCCATCCATCCATCCATCCATCCATTTTCCTCTGCTTATCCGGAACCGGGTCGTGGTGGCAGCAGTCTAAGCAAAGACACCCAGACCAGCAGGACAACGTCATCTGCAAAAAGCAGAGACGAGATCCTGTGGTCCCCAAACCGGACTCCCTCTGGCCCCTGGCTGCACCTAGAAATTCTGTCCATAAAAATAATGAACAGAACCGGTGACA